ATTTTCCGACGCATGCGCAGGTTACACCCGGCCGTAGGGTCGGAAAAAATCCGACCATTGTCGTAGAAATTTAGCGAGGCATTAGGGTCGGATATTTGTGGGTCGGGAAAAACCGACCCAACCAGGGTCGTGGATGTATACTAGCATAGGGTCGGATTTTTCCTACCACCGGACTAACAGTGCAGGCGTCGGGCGCGTGGAGAAGTTCAAACGGGCGCCGCCCCAAAAGTTCACCGGCGTCGTTTGCATTTCACGTGTGGGAATAACATTTCCCCCGCGGGCCGGCCACAACAAAAGGGCCCCGGCCGTCCCACCGCGCCAGCACGCAACAAAACTACTAACAGCAGAGCAGCGCTTATGAAGCAATTATGACATATTTTCAAGAGTCTTATCACTCGATCGCCATCTTGCCACCGAAATTAATATAAAGCAGGGCGCTGCTACTCGCGCTAGGGTGCAGGAATGTAGACTTTTATCTCATTTCGGCGATGAGAGCAACTTGCTCCAGAGATAGCTGACGTCCTGCTGACATGTTATGCGATGTGTTCATGCGAGTACACGTGAGTACGTGTGTGTGTGTCTGTGCCTGTGAGCGTGACTATATGTGTGTGAGTGAGTGTGTGTGCGGGCGAGGATCATTACTCCGCTATCCGCCCTGGCTGCACCGCGTCCTCAAGGCCGCCGCTGCTCAGAACGTTCAAAGCATTTTTTCCCCATCCATGAGCTACCGCGCGGTGCCGTGTCCTGGCGTGGCTCGGCGCGGCCCGGTGCGTAGGACGTATGCCCCGACTAAACGACTCTATCCCGGCTCTGCTTATGCCGCGGGACCATTTGCATTCCAGCACATCACCGATTACAAACGCCAGCGCGCCCGGCCGGGGCGCCAGGGCTGCTGCTGCTGCCGCCGCCTCTGACACAGGTAAAGTCATAAAAATGGAGCGCTCCTTGCTCTGCCGCCGCGCTGCTCTCTGCGAGAGGAATGTAGTCGCGTCACGTGAGCAGTCCGTCAGAGCCCTCCTGGCCCCACCCCGGGTACCCCGGGCCCCACCAGCCTTGGCGCTGCGATTACTGTACTTTTATGGCGAGCGAGTGTCAAAGCTCGCGGGGTCATGAGCACTATGGGCTCTGATTGCAGCGACCGCCACCGGCGCGAACCTGCCGCCGCCGCCGAGCCTGTGGCCGCCGCCGTCGCAGCTGCAGAAATGAGGTGCTAAGAGATATCATTAGTTAGTTACTGCCTCTGTCTAGTGCCAAGGGTAAAAATGCGCGGGGGTATTATATGAGCATGAGCCAACGACAAGAAAAAAAAACACTCGACAAAAATCAATTTTGCGCTGTAATGGCAACTACTATGATGACCGCCTATAAGAACGAAAGCCGATAAAAGAAGATGCACTTGCAATGCGCGAGCTGCAGAAATGTTGTCCGCGACCAAAATTCATAATAACTGATCATATTTACCGCGAGTGTAAGCGGATTCTCGATTCAG